ATATATATATATATATATATATATATATGTTCGATTCACGTGAGACAAGGTTGTTTTTGTGAAACACGTGAGACAAGGTTGTTTTTGTGAAGCACGCGAGACAATATTTTTACACTTGAAACATCACAACAAAATGTTATGTAAGTAAAAAAAAGTCGAATCTTCATAGAAAAACACTGTGAAAGTTACTTTCACAATATTTTGCTGTGAAGTTTCAAGTGTAAAAATGTTGTCTCATGTGTCTTACGAAAACATCATTGTCTCACATGATCCCGAATCTCTCTCTCTCTCTCTCTCTCTCTCTATATATATATATATATATGTGTGTGTGTGTGTATATGTATAATTTATTTATTTAACTTTTAATATATATTTTTTTGCAAAAAGAGGGTTAGCCAAAAGTCCTATGTTAGGAGAGTAGGCCAAATAAGTTAAGCACCTTGAGTGTAAAGAATCTATCAAGATAGTCAATCCCATAAATTGCCACAAGGACATCTCAATTTTCTTTTATATATCCACCATTTTTTGGCAATTTTTTATCTACCTATCAATGTGAGATAGACGAATTCAATCACATTCAAGATTAAAGAAGACTCAATTCTTAGGATGTCATATTGATGGTTGTGGTTTTTACTTTTAGATATAGAAGGAATAAAGTTTATAGATATAATTAATCTTTAATATGAATTAACTTTTATTGCAAAAAGAGAGTTGGTCAAAATGAACCGACCTCATGTGTTAGAGGGTCAGCCAAAAAGACCTATCAATAGGTGTTTAGAGAATCAACCAAGAGGAGCCAACCCCTGTCACAAAGACATTTCTACCTCATTTTACATATCCATCATTTTTGTCAATCTTTCAACTCTCAATCAATGTGAGGTATACAAAACTTAATCACCATCCAAGATTGAAGAAATATTCAATTCTTAGGGTGCCGCATCAACGGTTGCGGTTCTTAATTTCAAAAACATATAAAAACTATCTCTTCAATTAATTTTAGTATAGATTAACTTTTTCAAAGAGGGTAGGCCAAAATGAACCAACCCTATATGTTCGGAGGCTCAGTCAAAATAATCCAACCACATAAATTTAGACAATCAGACAAGAGTACCCAATCTCATGACTTGCCACAAAGGCATCTCAACCTCTTGTTATATGCCCTCCATCCATCGTTAATATTTCATCTCTCTATCAATGTGGGTTAAACAAAATTCAATCACAATTCAAAAATGACGAATACTCAATTCTTAGGGTGCCACATTAATACTTATATATATATATATATATAGGGGCCCATTCAAGGGAGAACTGATTAGTTTGTGGTAACTGTGAGATCTAATCTCAACCACAAATCAACGGATAAATTAAAAAATTAATAATTATGGTAGTTTGAGTTAAAATTATAATTAAAGGGCATTTTAGATATTTTTAAAAAACTCCTCCCTTCTCTCTCCTCTCTCCTCTCTCATCTCTCCGATCTCCAGTCTCCGGTGAACATTAATCCGGCAGGTACCAAGTAATCACAAAAATACACAATGTGATACCTATTGTGATATATTGTGATACCAACTCAAACCTTAAAAATAAAGATACACAATGTGATATATACCCATTGTAATACACAATGTGATAACCATTGTGATATATTGTGATACCGATTTCACCGGAGGCCGGAGATTGGAGGTCGGAGAGATGAGAGAGGAGAGAGGAGTTTTTTTAAAATACCTAATATGCCCTCTAATTATAATTTCAACTCAAACTATCATAATTATTAATTTCCTAATTTATCCGTTGATTTGTAGTTGAGATTGGATATAACAGTTACCACAAACTATTCAGTTCTCATTTGATTAGGCCCCTATATATATATGTATGTATGTATGTATGTATGTATGTATGTATGTATGTATGTATGTATGTATGTATGTATGTATGTATGTATGTATGTGTGTGT